CAGGGTCTCCAAGGCTGTCATCTTTACAGAAGGAGACTGCCTCATCTTTCTCCCATAGAGCGGCTATTGTTGTTATGTGCTGTCGAGTTGGCCCTGACTCATAGCGACCCTTCCTTGGGTTTCTGAGGTGGTATTACTACAGAAGTGGTGGATTCTAAATACCAAACCTTCCGGTTAGCAGCCTGACGCTTTAACCAGTGTGCCACCAGAGCTCCCTTAATGAAGTAGAAGGACCCTATTTCAAACAAGGTCGTGTTCACAAGTAGGAGGGGTGAGAATTTCAAGACTTTATTTGGGGGGACAGAGTTTAATTCATAACAGTCTTTTATAATCACAATTAAATATAAATTATATTTCAATGACAGAAATGGATTCAAATCCATCAATTTCCTATGTATGGATTTTTGTTTAATTGAAGAGAAAACATTCTATCAAATCCATAAAGCGATGGGTGATGACTCTTCAGTGATGAATCGTATATATCAAGATCTTCATTGAAGATAAAGTTATGAACCATCACAGAAGGTGTGCAATTCCAGACTGTAACTTGGCTTTTGCCCTTTGATTTGATCTGCCATAGAGAAACGTCTTGGAATCCTTTCGTCTATGGAAGTGTTAAGTTCATTAAAAATATTTTAGATGCTAAAAAGGCCAGTTCAATTCCTCTTTACAGTGTAGAATCAAGTTGTTTGTTATCCGACAGTAATGCTAAGAGTTCTGTTTGTAGTCCTGACACCATCAGCAGAGCTTTCCTCTTCAGTGACCACTGGACACAGAGTGCAGTAACAGTGATTTACAATCAACTGCCACATTGTCAACAGGGCAGGAGAAAAGTCACCAATTTACCACATTAGCCTTCAAGGACTTCAAAACGGGGACTAGTCACGGAGTGCACTGTTCATTCAGCTGAAACCGTTTCCACAGCACGGCATCCTTGATGAACCACAGCGTGGGGCGTTCTGACACAGGCTCCTCCACAAGGCCAGCTCCAAAACTCTGCTGACAGTACAGTCCTCCCTAGTTCCTACAGTTCAAGCTAGTTGTGTTTGTCAGCAGTGAAGCTGGGGGAAAGAGCCTCTCCTTCACTTCACCGTGATGTTCACCAGCGTGGATCGCAACACCGTCCGAGCGCTCATCGCGTGAGATGAACGATGCCCCCGTTGCTGGACGGGCTCCAGGCTGGACCTGCATATCGCCGGCCGGTTACTCTGCACACCCCACCACCGTGCCACTGAGTGTGCCCCCCGACGCACATTCCTCCAGTTGTTTCTAACACACGGTTTTCACTTTTTCACCAACGTCTGTGATTGTCTACGGGTTGTCCACCTTAGCAACTGGAAGTGTTGCCTCAAGGAGCCCACAGAGCAATGGTATTTTTCTGTGGAATACTGAACTCTCTGGGCTGACTGTGGATCCGCGTTTCCATTGTGCTTCATTCTCCCGTGGCCTAGAGCACACCCCTCATGTTTCCCGCAGGAAGGTCTCCCGGAGCTAGAACTGGGCACGTTCTGTCTCAGACGCTTTTTTTGCCTCCACTTTGAGGTATTTCTATTGGCTGTTGATGGCTAGGTTGACTCTTCCTTCCCAGCCTTCCACTTAAGACCTGTCATGCCACGGTCTGTCTGGAACATTCCTGATCAGCAATGCCCTGGCGACACCCTTCTCTTTTTCCCTCAGAGGTGACGGGTCCCCGCCCCACTCTCCCTCCGCGGGCCACTCTCAAGCCTTCTCTATCTTTGGTTTTCAGTGGCTCAGTGCTGTGTCGTTACACTTCCTTTGTGCACATCCCACTTGCAGTTCGAGAAAATGCTGGGATCTGGGAGATTACAGTTTTCCTCCAATTTGAAAACTGCAGCCACTATTTCTTCAGGTAATCCCCCCTCCCACGACTCCCCTCCTTTGGGACTCCAGGGACAACCACCGTGCCTGCTTCAGACTGTCCTGGGAACCACCGCTTCTCTTCACAACAGCAGCGGCGGCCACCAGCACTCAGACATTCGCCCAGGGGCCGCGTAAGACACAGCGCGTCAGCTTCTCTCCTGACCCCGCAGTCAAGCTGACGGCAGACTGCCTGCCCACCCAGAGCTCAGGCTCGTCTTCCGAGATCCCTCCAGATGTTGTCTGAGGCCAGCTGCATGTCACTGCAGGACTGGGGCAGGGCTCCTTTCCTACCGGGGGCCTCTCAGGAGTGAAGAACCCCTTCCCAGAGAACCCCCTCCCACTCTGAGCCTCTCTGATTCCATCCCAGAGAAATCCATCTGCTATCAAGGGGCTCCTACGCAGAGGTCTGGCCCACCTGGATACACACCTTTCTGAAAACCTACCCTAACAGGAACATCCCTCACATTCCCACGGTCTCAGGCATGGTCAGGGCTGGACGTGAGACACCCCTGACAGCCTCCCGGAATTCTACCCACCAGCCCTGTGGGCTCTGCGGCGCCTCCTGCTGGTTGATCCCATCCACAGGCAGTATCACTTCAGACGGTGCCCTCTCCAGCTGCCAAACTTTCAATTACATACACTATACCACACATGTGCATAGCGTGTGTGTGTGTGTGTGTGTAGAGACTGGCAACACCACTGCCGTCCAGTCCATTCCAACTCCTGGCGACCCGACTGGGTTTCCAAGGTTGTAATCTTTATGGAAGCAGACTGGCTCACATCCCTCCCACAGAGCAGCTGGGACGTGTGAACCACCACCTTCTAGTTAGCAACCAAATGCCTTGCCCACTATGCCATCACAGCTCCTTATAGAGAGAGAGAGACTTCCGGAGGGATACCACCTCGGAAACCCAAGGAGGGGTCACCATGAGTTGGATTCGACTTGATGGTAGTGCGTTTGGTTTTTATAGATAGACAGAGATACGTATACTTTTTCCACGTCTGTCCTCACATGCTCACTTTTTTCTTAAGGTAGAGAGCACCCTTGTCCAGATGGCCTCAATCCGAGAACTCCACCCTCCCTGTCACGTCTGAGTTGGTTTCTACTGACTGATTCTTTTCCTGGCTGTTTGGCACATCTTCCTGGTTCTTCTCAGGTTTACTGATTGTTTATTGGATGCACAGCATTTAACTTTACATTTTGGGTGGTGAATTTTTTTTGGGAAGGGGAGTATTTCTTTAAAGAGTGTTGGGCTTTGTCCTGATGGGAATGTAAGCACATTCTAGATCAGTGGGGGGCTTCCCAGGCTGGCCTTACACCTTCTGTTCTCCTGGCTCTAGAGTAGGCTGGGGGCTAGGATCCATGAGGCCACACTAAAGTGTGATTCCCCTGTGGTTGTAGTGAACGCCCCACTGTGCACACCAACATAGGTCAAGACACACAACCAGGCCTCTTCAATTGTACAGATGATACTTAAGACGTGTAATGGAATACAACTGTAGAAATGACACTTTGTTCTCATAGTCAGGTAAACATGCCACACATCACATCTCCAGGGCACCCAGGTGTAAATGTGATTACCAACAATTACATCATGAATAGTCATTACATAACAGTTCCTCAAATAAGAATATCTGGACAGGTCAGGAGTGGAGGTCAAGATTACCTTTGTAAAATGAGTGGGCAAAGCTCTGCTCAGGAACTAACTTGGCAAGGAATCCATGGTTCAAACTTGGATGAGGGATAGAGGGTATGACCACAACTGTGGAGAAAATCATGGAGTCAGATTTGAGCCACCATGTAACAACCTGCAGCCCAGTCCATGGCAGCCCCGTGACGCTCTACACTCCACAACATGCAAAGAGTGCTGCCGGCAAGGAGCATCTCGGAGGGAAGGGGCGGGGCTTTGTGTGAGCAGAAACGACAGCGTGTACTGATCAGGCACAGGGGTTTGGGCAAACACAGAGACAAGCAAATACACGAGAAAAGCAGAAGTGGAGGGTTCACAACACTGGTGTGCGTTTTATATTATATATGTACGTATCTATACATATATAAAACACACATTGGTGATAGACACGGATGCAGTAAAGATGAAGAAAAAGGCTGATAACATGATAAATAAAGTCTTCACAGTTAGTTTAAGTGGTGAAAAGACTTGAACTGGCATGGTATGTACGATGGGAGTTAATCGGAAGGATAAAGATAAAAGGGACTACACTGAAATAATCTAGAGCTCAGGAGTCTGATATACAGCATGCATCAGCAAAACCCGCCGGCTGAAGCACACGCCACGCTCCCCCAGCAGCAGCAACAGTAAAGGAGACATGGAAAGCTCACGGAAAACAAGAGGCAGAGATTTGGCCACTAATTTCTACTCACTTTTTAAAAATTCATTTCATTATTATATCATATGCATTTATCTAAAAACTGGGTTGATTCTGACCCACAGCGCCCCTAGAGGACAGCGTGGAACTGCACCACAGGGTCTCCTAGGCTGTCAGTCTTCACAGAAGCAAAGCCCAAACCACACCCACTGCCGTGGAGTCCATTCTGACTCACAGCGCCCCTAGAGGACAGAGTGGAACTGCCCCACAGGGTCTCCAAGGCTGTCAATCTTCACAGAAGCAGAGCCCAAACCACACCCACTGCCGTGGAGTCCATTCTGACCCACAGCGCCCCTAGAGGACAGAGTGGAACTGTTCTAGAGCGTTTCCAAGGCTGTCGTCTTTAGGGAGGCTGACTGCCACATATTTCTCCTGTGGAACTGGGTTCAAACTGGCAAGCTTTGAATTAGGAGCCAAGTGCCTTAACCACTGCATCACCAATGCTCCTGTGCATTTATTTACAAAAGACAATTTCATCTACACATTTATCCAGGGGTATATGACACCCCCTTCGGTTATTAAGATAACACTACAAACAACAGAGAAACACCACTGACACAAACACCTGGCAGGAGATACAACTCAGAGAAGGTGCCCAATGGCATGAAAACATTCGCCACCATGTAACATGCTTACAGTTCTCAAGCAAAGTAGGGAAGGCTGAAAATGCAAGACCACCCTCAAAATTCACGTTTGCTACAGATTAGAAAGACCACCTGCCCCAAGAGGGTTCACTGTTGTCTGTTACGTTAACTCCTGCAAGTCTCTGATTTTAGTAGAAGCACCTTTGGTACAAAGACTAGAATGTCTGTCTGCTTATCTTAAATCGGGCAGAATATTTAGATACTGAAACACCTGAACATAACAAAAAAAAAAAAAAAAAAAAA